ATACCAAACAGCATTTTTTTTTTCACTGTCTGCACCTGGTACTCTGAGCACACCTTCCCAGATTTTTGTACAAATATGACAGTTATATGTTGAAAATGGCAGTTTTGTAAGTTTTTGTAAGTTTTGCCAAATCCTTTTACATTTGTTGTAATAAAATATGTTTAAATCAAAGGTCTTATGAAGTGAAAATTTATATCAGGCCATTTGAAATCCGTTGGCTTCTGTAAGTCTCTGACAGCCCCCATTCTTCCGGCCTCAAGAGACTTTGGTCGTACGGTCCTCCCCTCGGAGAAACACTCATTTTCGCCCCACTTTCAGACATTTTTTAGATGCGGCCCTGACAGCATACCGTAATTGTTAGAGAAATCTGAACAATCTAAGGTGGTTGTGTATTAGACAAGGTAAAGTTCTTGTCAAAGATCCAAATGACCATGTCAATCTCAGCATAGTAGTGGTTTTCTCACATAGGATATTAAATACCTTATGGCTTAAAGTGTAGTGAAGTTATTCAGAAGAAATACATGACAGCGTCTCTCAAAATGTCACACATCAACTCCTCCAATGCTGTTTCATATCTCGGCATCTCCGTAGCTTCTTATGCTTCTTTTTCGGAAAAATCCTGACATTTCTTTTGTCCTCATATGTATTTTTGTGTTTTTTTTGGGGCAAACGTTCAATCGCGGGGGGCAATTTAGCAAAGCACCTTGACGTCGGGAAACGGACTTTCACGGAGTATTTTAGATTCGAGATTATTTTTGTTAAAACACACAAGTTATAATACGTTACATTTTATTGCTGTTTTAGTTTAAACGAAGTCGGGTATGTTTTATGGCAAAACGTTGAACAAATACGTCCAAGTTAATTTTCTGGGTTTTTTTTGGTTATTTTTTTTTTTGATCAAATATTTATCCATTTTTTCTACTTTGGGTTGTTTGATTCATATGAATACAATTTAGGATAATATATGTCTATTGGTTAGTATTTATAAACAACCAATCAAATCCTTTAAATTTTGAGACAGGACAGATTACAATCCAGTATCAGACCAACGACGCTTTACTGCAGACTTTTTATGATTTTCAACGACCCCAATTGTATCAAATTATCTATTCTAATGTAATTAAATTTAAAAATGTTATTAAAAGCTATGATGTCTGGTTTCATCCTCAGCTAAGTATAAACAGAAAGATATTTAAAACAGTTCTTAAGTAGGCCTACAGATAGGAATACTTAGTATTTTGTTGAACCATTTCGCATAACGCAGCCCTGAAAGCCATAACCTTATTTTTCGAATACTCATCATATGATCGACAATGCAAGAGCAGCTGACTGGTGCACTTACTCCACCATAAAATGCCCGACCAGAATGACCACTGTTGGCCATTCACTCAGACTCAGTTACCTGCTCCTATTGACTCAGGAAAAAGAAAAGGTATATTTTAAAAAAGCGACCGGTACATTTTTCTAGGGGGGAGGGGAGCAAGATTTGATTTAGGGGGGGGGGGGGGAAGCCCCAAGCCTGTGTGACAGGTGTGATATGGAGACAGCTGTCCAGTTGTATATGAGTTTAGTAGCACGTGTAGAATGATGTAATAATTTCAACTCACCATGGTACAGCGACTACCAGCTGGTCTGAGGTACACCACTGGCCAGCTCTAGATCATTTAGACCAAATCCATGGTCATCCCCATCCCAGATCATTCAACTCACCATGGTACAGCAACTACCAGTTGGTCTGAGGTACACCACTGGCCAGCTCTAGATCATTTAGACCAAATCCATGGTCATCCCCATCCCAGATCATTCAACTCACCATGGTACAGCGACTACCAGCTGGTCTGAGGTACACCACTGGCCAGCTCTAGATCATTTAGACCAAATCCATGGTCATCCCCATCCCAGCTCATTCAACTCACCATGGTCCAGCGACTACCAGTTGGTCTGAGGTAAGAAATGAACAACCCATACCAGGTTTGACGGGTGTAACAGGTGTGACAGGTGCGATAGGTGTGATAGGTGTAACAGGTGTGATAGGGAGCATGAGTTTAGTAGCACGTGTAGAATGATGTAATAATTTCAATATTCTCCGATATGGAAATAAGGAATATGATAAACTAAGTACCAACGCAAAACGAAACCCGAAACCCAAATCAACATTTTCTTTTTGGTGTCGCATTGGTTGCAGGAAAAAGAAAAGGTGTATTTTAAAAAGGCGACCGGTACATTTACTTCTTGATACTTTCATGAATGCATAGAAGAGAAATATCAAACAGCATTTTTTTTTCACTCTCTGCACCTGACACTCTGAGCACACCTTCCCAGATTTTTGTACAAATATGACAGTTATATGTTGAAAATGGCAGTTTTGTAAGTTTTTGTAAGTTTTGCCAAATCCTTTTAAATTTTTGTAATAAAATATGTTTAAATCAAAGGTCTTATGAAGTGAAAATTTATATCAGGCCATCTGGAATCCGTTGGATTCTGTAAGTCTCTGACAGCCGCCATACCTCCGGCCTCACAAGACTTTGGCCGTACGGTCCTCTCCTGGGAGAAACACTCATTTTCGCCCCACTTTCAGACATTTTTTAGATGCGGCCCTGACAGCATACCGTAATAGTTAGAGAAATCTGAACAATCTAAGGTGGTTGTGTATTAGACAAGGTAGAGTTCTTGTCAAAGATCCAAATGACCATGTCATTCTCAGCATAGTAGTGGTTTTCTCACATAGGATATTAAATACCTTATGGCTTAAAGTGTACTGAAGTTATTTAGAAGATATACATGACAGCGTCTCTCAAAATGTCACACATCAACTCCTCCAATGCTGTTTCATATCTCGGTATCTCCGTAGCCTTACGATTATACTTATATACTACGGTGGAAAAAAGTCCGAAACATCTGCCCCTATTCCAGCCTCTGATAGATATTTTGACAGTTGTCAGCAGGAGTAGAGTCAGAAGAAAAATACCCTGTTAAATGGGGATTTTCTACACCTCTTATTGAATTACCTTTAAGATAATTGTAAATTAGTGTTGGGCATCACCGTAACTTTCGTTTTGTTAGTATCACGTGACTCTGTCTCTATACCAGCTGACATCTGTCCAAATAACTAGCAGAGGCTGGAATAGAGACAGATGTTTCGGTCCAGGTGGAAATGGCAACTGTTTACTTCATTGGGATGTTTGTGAAAGGAGATCTTATAGAAGGCATTAATAACACTTTATGTATTCCCAGTAAGCAGACAACCAGTAGTTGAGCCACTGAAGACTGTAGATAAAATATAGATATGCAATACGTTAATATACATCCGCTTTTCGTTTTGTTTTCAGGGATTCCCAATCAGTAGCCCAAATGGGAAAGAAAATAAGACCCAATAAGAGGTAGCTCGAGCTAGTAGCCCTATTGGGACTTAGCCCTAATGAGAATGAACCCAAATGGATAGACAATATTATTGATACAAGGTTATAAACTTGAATTGCCAATACTTGGTATTGTAATATATACAACGGATTTTTATTTTATTACCTTAATAATTCAAGTTTCTTCCCACTTTATCAAAATTTAAGAGTTTTAATTTCTTGTTGACAAATTTTAAGCTGTTTTTAATCTCATGTTTGCATTTCTTCACAAAGTCCACACTGACACCTTCTTTTGAAAAAGAAAATTAGATGAAATTGTAGGCCTACTGATTGTGTTATTCCCTGTATTTTTTCTATTGTTACTTTTATATTAGGCCTACACTTAAAAAGTATTTTATTCTACAGGTAAACAAAGATTTTGCCAAATATTATCTGAAACGTGTGTACATAAGTCTACATGTGATTTTGTAAACAGGCTCTGGCACGAACTTTCTTCCTTTATCGCCTAAGTATCGCCATAAAAATTAATATTCATTATCAATCTGGTCTTTTTTATTTCATAGTCGAACGGGCTACAATAACGGAATCAATTTCGGAATTCGGCCACTTTTGTTCGAACATATACGGTCAAATTTATGGATCACTGGTACTTTCTTCGGGAAAACTGTGGCAATCGGTAAGGCTGCTGTTGAAATCATCGGCCATATTGTCTTGTACTGTATTTATTGATGGTCCTAGTTGACGTCAGATTTCCTGGCAGTACCCAGTTGTAACATGATACCTTTTGCCGTTATTGTTATTGGTATCAACTTTGAACGCAAATAAAACACAAAATAGGGGTACTATAACATTTCCTTTGGGTTATTATATGCCATTATGGTGTCGCCATTAGTGACCATTGAATTCAATTCTGGAACTTTTGGGAAGCTTGGGCAGCATATCATAGCGAGCGAAACATTAGTTTCATTTTGGGGGATTTTTAAGGACAATACAACTTAATAAAGCCACTTAAAGTTGGCAATAAAATAGACGTTAGACTCAACTAAGACAATATTGGGGTCTATAATGATTGCGACAAATTATAAAATCACTTTAAAATTTCGCTTTTGGCCCATTCATGTAACTTTTCTCTCCATTATTCTTTACAAATTGAAAATTTTGAGATGACATTTCAGGAGTGTAAATATATATACAAGATTTATTTAAAAGATACCTTTTAATTAATTATTTCATTTCTTTTTCAAAAATTACAGGCTTAAGAGCACCAGGGTTGAAAGCTAACAGGCTGGGAGTATCAAAAGGTTTAAAAGCCAAATGTTAAGCTGTTCACAGTTCTAGTAATATTATTGTTTTACAGTTGATCTGTAGAATATTTTGGTGAAATATTAATGGCAACCTTTCGTTAAAAAGTTGTGTTGAATAAATAAAAATTCTGTATATCTATCATTGATCTGCTGGTATAAAATATTAATTGACAGTCTTGAAAGAAACATCTGTTCAGTGGGAGACTTTGTATTTACTATAAATACGTGACCAAATCTAGCATTCGACAGTGTATCAACAAGTCTGTATATCCTTGCTAACGTTAAAACCATGAATAACCTATTATGTTCCGTTCTGTTGATTTCCGTAATGGTGATTTTGTAGATGCCGGTAAATATGTTATTTATTATCTAAAAGTTGCTTTATGAATCTTAGGTCAAATTTTGTATATATGATGGGGGAAATTTATCTTATCTTTTTTATTGTTGGAAGAGTCCGAGTCAGAGGTTTACTGAAGGCAACTTTCTTTTCAGCAGCATGGATAACTAGCTTAAACACATTTTAAATCATCTTTGTCTGTAAATAGTAAATTAACATGTAGTTCTTGAGACAAATACTTGATGATATAATTGTTGGGGGGTAGTATATTTGAGTCAGAAATAAATAATGGCAACAAATAATATCAACATTAAATTTACAGATTGTTCAACATATCCAAATGTAACAGACGCAAATTTTGATAAAGATTGCAATGGAAATGTAGTCATTACATGTCAAAAGAATGTGTTGAGGAAGAATGGAGATATCAAAACCCAATATGTAAACGCACAGGTAAGATAATTTTAAATACATGAATTACAAATAAACAATATTAGCTTAAAAATAGCTAAAATATATACAACTTTTTACTACTGAAGTTAGGGTGATGGTAGGTTTAGGATATTATAAAATATATACAACTTTTTACCACTGAAGTTAGGGTAATGGTAGGTTTAGGATATTATAAAATATATACATCTTTTTACTACTGAAGTTAGGGTAATGGTAGGTTTAGGATATTATAAAATATATACATCTTTTTACTACTGAAGTTAGGGTAATGGTAGGTTTAGAATATTATAAAATATATACATCTTTTTACTACTGAAGTTAGGGTAATGGTAGGTTTAGAATATTATAAAATATATACATCTTTTTACCACTGAAGTTAGGGTATTGATAGGTTTAGGATATTATAAAATATATACAACTTTTTACTACTGGTTGTCTACCAAAGCCATTTTTGTTAGTAAAAATCTCACTATAACTTTGAAATGCAACTTTTCACCGATGTAGCAGGTCGGATACTCACTGCCTCAGAACCATTCCAACGGCTCCAGTTTTATTTTGTTTGATAAATTATATTGGTGATTTTGATAGTGGGTACCTGGTGTTAACAGCTTGAAGTTTTGAGAGAGACACTTGTTTTCCAAATTTTTATTTTTTGACATCGACCTTAGATGATGCTAGCCCAAAAACTCATTTTGGTAAAGAATTTAAATTGTACGTGCATTATAAGAGGAAGTATTCCTTTAACCTAGCGGCTCCTGCTCCTGTATCTCAAGTTTTGAGGGAGACACTTGTCATCCAAATTTTAATTTGACATTTTCATTTTGACATCGACCTCAGATGATCTTAACCCTAAGGATGTTATGTAATACTATAATTTTTATTTCAGAATGTAGTTACAAGTATTTGAATAAAACATGTTTAGCATCGAGTTACACTGACTATTATGATCACACGAATACTGATGAAGATGACCAATGTGATGAAGAGTGTAAATCTAATACTCGGTGGTGTACCGCTTCAATATTTTATGCAGGCGATAATTGTAATCTTTACAAAGCTCCGATCATCTTTGGGTCATATGATCTAGATCTAAATCAATGTATTGAAAAGTGTAAGGAAAGGAGTGACTGTGTAACATTGAGCTTATGGACAGAATATGGCAATGAATGCTTTTTATTTAACGTTACCCTGGCTGAACTACCTGATGGTTCGACAACTGAAAATAACGCATGTACCATAGTAGAAAAAATATGTTAATTAAAACATGTTAAATCATGATAAATCTTTTTTTACTTTACTTTTCCTGAAATTTGGGTGGTGGGTTGACATCACTAGTGAAATGTTGGGAAGCTAATGAGGTTCCCTACTCCAAAAAAATCATCCCTTAAAAGAACAGTACCTCTAAGGATGAGCAACAAATTTATTTTTTTAAACTTGTCCAAAATGAGTGAGTCAGTGGACTCACCTAGGGTTAAAACTTTACAACAGAATTCTCTCATATGACCTGAAAAATCAATAAAACTACAAAAGTTATTATTGAAAAAAGGTAAATATTGAAAAATGCTTAATATTTTTAAGCGTTTTTCAATAATTACTTAGTTTAAAGATGGGTTCCCTTAATTTCATTAATGAAAATACTAATACTTATATGAATAGAAAGTAGAGGTGTTCTAATGACTTGGAAAAATACCAGTTTGTATCACGCGTCCATAATTAATTAGCTAAATTAGAAGAGAATTACCAGCAGAATTCCAATGAGTGACCGATCAAGAAAGGTCAAAAAGTATTTTTTTGTTTATCCAGACTGTACATACATGGACATTTATAATTGCTTAATACTCGTAATTATATGCAATAAGAACATAATGATATGATTAAGAATACATGATAACTCATTAGAAACACATATTAATCAAATAGTTTGCTTAATTTGGCACTAAAAAATCAGGAAACCCATCTTTATTGGATATATTTTCATAAATAGGGTGCATGTTGTTTTGTTAAGGCACCAGGTAAGTCCACTATGAATTTAGACTCATTTTGGCCAAGTAAGAGAATATATATTTTTATGTGCATTGTTGGAGGGAGTAACCTAGCTATTCAGACGTGATGTATACGGATGGGATATTACCATTTTAATCATACCCGTAGCTAAACAACAGTCTCGGGGGGTTGGCTTTTGTATTTTTTCAAGGAGGGCTTAATGTTTTACTTTTTTAATTTGACACAACATAGTTAAACTTAGAAATAGCTTCAAATGTGCTTTGTTGAAATATTACAGCCAATATAAATATAGCTTGCCAGGCAAGATAACATACGCCCACTGATAGCTTTGATTGAAGGTACATGTCTTTGTTTGCTGCCCATTCAATTGTAGCCTGTAGAGTGAGCACGAGTTGCACAATATAGCTAATAGATATAAATATAACACTATTGAACAATTATCCAATCATCACAAAAATCGATAGGGATCATCTTCATAATGACATTGACACACAAAATCAAAATAATCTGTAAAGAATTGTAGCCTGTAGAGTGAGCACGAGTTGCACAATATAGCTAATAGAATGAAACGTCAAGTCAGACACGATATTTCGACGAAAAATTATCAGATCATCACGAAAATCGATCATCTTCATAATGACATTGACACACAAAATCAAAATCAAAAGAATCTGAAAAAAAATGTCGACTGTGGATTGAACACGAGTTGCACAATATAGCTCATAGATATGACAGGGTGATTACAATATAAGCCCATCTTATGTGTGGGCGTATAAAAATTCGAGGGGGTTATTAAAACGGTTACGAATTACGTTCGTGTGTGTTGTTTCTGTGTAAGAACAATGTGTATATAATTTCGTATGGGCTTTGCCATTTTCATGGCTCATTCGAGTGTCACATCATGTAATTTATGTTATTATTAGCAGCCTAAAAGCAAAACCCCTCTCCCTAATTTCCCAGGTCCCAGATAGATGTTAACTTCCAGTTCTAGAGCTATTTGGAAATCTCGATCTTTAAGATCATGTGACCAAATAAACATAAAACAAAATGATCTAACATTGTACATATTATAACTGAGATAACATAATTGATGTGGTGGACGTGGCATTCTGATTATATTTACCTTGAAATATTTGCAATTGTTATAACTCGCAAATTTGGTGCCAGACAAGGTAATATACGCCCACTAGCAGCTTTGATTTTAAATAAAAATATTTGGCAGTACGATAACAATCACCAGTATGAAATATTCAACCTTCAATCATACACTTCTTTTGAACTTTTTGAGGCGATACTAAAAATTGAACGCATTTTCAAGAGCATGGGCAATAACTCATGCTAAATATCAGAATCTATATTTGACAACAGCCTCTATTTACTTGAGGTCTGCTGTCGCCCTATCTACTTCCATTTTACAAAAATAATTTCCTCAAAGTTCAGAATTATTTCCGAAAGCAGTTTCAGAACTGGATGTAAATGAAATGTGGGCTAATGAAGACAGGCAACGCCATGCAGGGTGCGATGAGGGAAATTTTGCCAGGACAGAGCATTTTTCGATTTCCAACTGTTGAGGGATCTTTAACGTGCGTAGCCTGTAGCACACGGGGCCTCGGTTTATAGTCCCATCTGAACGACAAGACGCTTTTTCTATGTCAGCCTCTCTTACCTGCATCACTGACAGGGGGAACCGGGTTGAAAAATCTGAAGGTATTATCTTGACCTATGCAGGGATTGAACCCGGGACCTTCAGGTTAGCGAGCAAGTGTCTTTTTTTTTATCTTGTAAATATTTATTCATCAAAATAAATATACAATACAATATTTAAAATTATAATACAGTATATGAAGTAATAATATACCACAATTTTATATATTGATAAAATCAAAAATATAGATTGATATCACAGCTATATGTTCCGTAAAGGAGTTAAACAAATAAAATATGAAAATCAATAGGGCAACTTTTAAATTTAAATTATGATAAAACATTATATTGTAATTCTTCAGGTTGTATAAACAATAAAGCAATATCTAACAATATATCAGACACAACGAAGTAGTTTTGAAATAGACTTAAAATGGTAAAAAGAAAGTGAAAATACTGGATGTAAAAGCGTTAAATTTATAAAATCATTCACTATATGTGAAAGAGACTTGATAATAAAATATAAAAACAGTGTTATACACACTGGATAATGCAGTTAAAAATTATTAAAATAGATACTACTATATGTGAAAAAGGCTGGATAAAAAAGTGTCAAATGATTTTCCTATAGCCCCGTTATTCACGCTTTGACACTGCGGCAGGTGAGATCACGTGACACACTGTCAAGGCGAGGATAACGGTCTGTTAAAAGTATCGAAAGTGTAAGGATCATGAGAATATCCCTAAAACATATTAGAAATGAAAAATGATATACCCTAGCTAAAATTAAGCTAGGGTAGAGTCTGAGTGTCGTCTGCTATAGGTGTTTATACAGTGTACTGTTAGGGAGTGTGAAGTCGTAAGGGGGATCTCGGGTCGAAAATCGTTGGTTTTTGATCAAATCTTCGATTCTGAGAAAATGACATTTTCTGAATCATAAATATCTCACCTTTCCATTAATAACAGTTATTTATTCAAAAATCATAAATATTTTATTGAGGCCAGGTGCAAGAAAAACCGCACGTCTGGTTCGAAATAACCCGTAAAATGTCTTTATAAAAGACGAATTTTCAACGCTTTCCCGTTTCTTGGCGGCCATGTTTGACATATCATTGGAAAGAGTAAACAAAATGAAGCATGATGGTCCTAATGAGAATTGTGTGCGTGATCAAGACCATGGTTTTGGCTTCATTTTATTCCAAGAATGTCAACTTCGAGAACTGATAAAAGGATTATTATGCCCAGAATGTTATAGTAGTGATATAACCCTTCAAAGTCAGAATAGGAATTTGGGACTTGTTTTATTATTGGTGACTCAGGGCTCAGCATGTGGGCATATAATCAATTCAACATATTCAAGTATACGTTTGAGGAATGAATCTAGTTCCAGAGTTTCCTTTATTTTAACCCGATCCTTAGTGTTTGCCACAATGGATATGGGGGTGGGGCATGCCTCCAATTCATTTTACCACCTACAGTAGTCGTGTGTCAGCCATTTCTCTTGGTTCTGAACAGTTAAGTTCAGGTTACTTCTCTGAAGCTGGATGCATAGTCAGGAAAGTGCAGAAAGAATTAAATCCAGACATTAACATTGAGGGAGTAATAGATTTAGCTGTAAGCTTTGATGCCTCTTGGCTTACTAAAGGACATTCTTCCATGTATGCTGTAGCCTTCATTATTGAAGTTATAACCGGTTTAGTTTTAGACTTCCATGTAGTATCAACTTTTTGCCATGCCTGCTCATTTGCAAAAACCAAATATGGCAGTGGAATAGAATTTGAAGAATGGTATTTAAAACATAAGCCACATTGCAACATAAATTTCAGTGGATCGTCTAATGCTATGGAAGTTGAAGCTGCAAAAGTCCTGTGGTCTAGGTCTTTAGACTCTGGGTTTAGATACTCCACATTAATTAGTGATGGCGATTCAAAATCTTACGATCACATTAACAATTTAAAACTCTATAATGTTGAAAAACAAGAATGTATCAACCATGTTGCCAAACGCATGGGAACAGCTTTGCGAAAATTAGCCAAAGATGGCAAAAAACTAGGTGTGGTACTAGGTGGAAAGGGGCAGGGAAAATTGACTCAAACAACCATAAATAAATTAACAATTTACTATGGTAAGGCCATCAGAGAAAATCTTGACAATTTGGATGCAATGCGTGATGCAGTGTATGCAAACTTCCTGCATGCTTTATCCACAGAGTCAGTACCTCACCACAATAGGTGACCCAAAGGAATAAACTCCTGGTGTTTTTACCAGATGGCTGTAGCTGTCGGTGAAAAACCAGGTTCACATAGTGAATTGGTACATACTCCCATCAGCTTGGAAGTTGGGGATCATTTAAAAACTGTTTACGAAAGACTTGGGAGCGAAGCATTATTAAGACGCTGTTTGGGGGGGTTTACGCAAAATCCAAACGAAAGTCTGCACGCTAAGGTATGGACAAAATGTCCAAAGGAACATTTTTATTCACGGCAACGTATAACAATATGTGCAGCTATGGCAGCAATAGAATTTAAAATTATAAGGGTATTAAACCCCAGGAGATTTTATTTGAAATAATGGGTATCCCTATTTCTCCTCGCACCAAAAAAAGCTGGTGAACTTATTAATGCCAAACGTGTAAAGGGGGCCCAGAAACGATCCCAAGCCTCAACTAAAGAAGCTAGAATAGCTAAAAAAACTAAAAAAAACAACAACAAAGAGATGAACTATTAGTCAAAGAAGGTTCTCTGTATGAATCAGGAGCCTTTTAGGTAATAAATCACATAATTTGAAACCAATATTTCTTACTTGTTTTTTTTTTCTCAAATAACTTTTTTTTGACCCAAATGCCCCTAATGAGACCTAGATCTCCTAAACTATTTAATGGATTTGCATGAAACTTTGCAATTATCTCTATTGATATATTATCTATGCAGTAACAGAGAGTTTTTAGGAAAAAAATTTGAAAAAAATGAGAAATATGTCAATTTTTAAAAACTTTTGGTAATTTTTTTGAGACGTATTTTAAACATGCCACAAAAGTAAAAGTTTTCATTATTATACCAAAAACTCTCTGTTACTGCATGCAGAATTATATCTAGCATAACTAGTCAAAAAAATGGATACCCTGCTTTTATTAGTTACAGAGATCTACGTCTTTTCCTGAAATCACTAATTTTCGGGCTTTTACTTGGTTACCATGGCAACCGACCTTTGACATCAGATTTTTACCTACATATGTGTTTTAATATTCACTATCATCATTTATGCAAAGTTTCATACATCTATTCCTTAAAATAAAGAAAAATAAATTTCGATCCTAGTTCCCCCTTAACTAAACTTAAAGGTAGGTTTCCACTTAAAATTAAAAGGTAAGATATATGACATGGTTAAAATCATTTAAATTCAATATTAATTAAATCATCTAGTTGTATATTAATAAAACATGAAGGTAAAATAAATTTCTGTATAAAAACGTGTTTAGGAAAAAGTTGTTTGAGGTAAATTAAGGCTCTTGCTAAAATATTCTTATATAAAATAACTAAATCAATATGGCTATTAGGTTTATCGATATGTACATTTCTTGTAATAAAAATAGTTTGCCTTCACAGGATAAAATAATATTTAAAAGCTCTGAGGGAACAGATTTGTTAAAATTTTGCAAGCCAAATAGTAAAAAACATTTAAAATCGTGGTCAGTAAAAGTAAAAGGTAAAATATCTTTTAACATTTGATGTAAAAGGTAAATAAATAAGCTTAAATCAAGACAATCAATAAAAAAGTGCTCTGTGGTTTCTGGCTCATCACCACAAACCGGACATAGATCACTGTCAACTTTCCCTATCCGCTTTGATTTCTCCCTGGTCCATATAACGTTATGTGCTATTCTAAAATCCAAGTCAATCATTTTAGGTGATTTATAATGTTTAAAAATATTATTATATGTAACTGGCCAATTGACATCTAAATTCTGTTTCTGCCAATAGTGAATAGCAGTTGGTGTTGTATCTTTAAGCTTTAGTAATATTTTATAACAGAATTTGGAGGTCAATTGGTCACTTGACACTCTATTATTGTCAAGATCAAAGAAATTTTCGCAGGATAAACAACAAAAGAGCTGGAATCAATAATTTTACTCCACTCGGATGGAACTGAGGCTTTAATATGTTCATAAGTTTTAATCATTTTGTCTTCATCCAAATCAGGGAATTTCTCTTCAATCATGTCAATAATAGAGTGGTATAACATAATATAAAATATCATAAAATGTTAAAATTTCTGCATGTATAAAATATTTGTATGCTAAAACTTTGTTATTGTGGTTTAGTAAAATATTATTAAAAATAGGTTGTATAGCAATATCATTTAAAATACAGGGTTCCATTCTAGAATTATTATTTACAGTATTCCAGGCTACTAAAAGTTGTTTATAAAAACATGGTAGGGCATTTAAAAGTTTGTAATTAAAATGTATTTTAAAAATATCTTTATCTAATCCATATAAATTTAAAAAAATAAGTCATGGTATGCTTCCAAAATGTGTTATTTACAGGGTTAAAATATTGTTTAAGCCATTTTAATAAAAGTGATTGCCCTTTTAATTTAATATCTATCAACCCCATGCCTCCCTCTGACTTGGCTTGTGTCATGACATCATACTTGATTAAAGGTGGTTTTCCATGCCATAAGAAGTTAGTAATTAGTGTGTTTATTTGTTGTTGTATATGGTCAGGCATGGGGATGATAGACATAGTATAATAAAATTTAGATAATAAAAGTGCGTTTATTACAGTGACCTTACCTACGAGAGTGAGTTGCCTCTTTCTCCAAAAGTTTAATAGATTTTGCACCTTAAAAACTTTGGATTCCCAATTAGACTTCACACATTCCTTAACATTATTGCCAAAATAAACACCCAAAATCAAGATTATGTCATATACAATAGTTAAAGGTAGATTTATATTAATTAATTTTATCTACTGCAGATCCAAATGGCATAATCTTTGATTTCTTGATGTTTATTTTGGCACCTGAAGCATTATTATATTTATTTATACATTTAAAAACATCTTGTACAGAATTAATGTTGGCCAGTGTCAGGGTTGAATCATCTGCATGCTGATATATCAATGACCGAGCCTCAGAATTTTTTATATGTATACCTTGTGCCGGGGAATGCTTAATTAGTTGATTCAGAGGCTCAGCGCATATGACATATAGCAATGCAGATAAAGGACAACCCTGACGTACTGACCGCTTAATGGGGAAATAGGGCGACAGGTGGCCATTTACTTTAACAGTGCTCTTAACATCAGTATATAGAATTTTAATCCATTTTCGAAAAACTGGGCCAAAACCAAAGCATTTTAGAATATGTTGCAGATATTCGAATGACACACGGTCGAAAGCTTTTTCGGCATCTAATTGGCACAGCCACATATCTTCGTTTTCATTTTTAACATAATCTATAACATCTCGAATACCTGCAACATTTTCTAAAATGCTTCTTTCTGGGACAGAACAAGACTGTTCAGGGGAGATAATCGACTCTAAAACATTTTTTAACCTTAGTGCTAAAATCTTGGATAAAATCTTTGTGTCAGCATTTAAAAGAGAAATAGGTCTAAAATTTTTAAAAGTGTCTTATCTCCCTTGTCTTTGTAAACTAAAACAATAACCCCTCTTTTCATTGACCTTGATAAAATATTACAATTAAAAATATGGTTTAAAACATCTAAAAACAGGGCCATTAAAATATCTTTAAAATATAAATAAAATTCAGATGTTAAACCATCCAAGCCAGGACTTTTTCCCTTGGACATGGATTGTAAGGCATTAAAAACTTCTTCTAAAATAATAGGAGCATCTAAAATATCTCTATCCACAGAGGAAATGGTTGAGTCCAAAATATTACCAACTTCACGTATAGAATTAAAATCATCAGGGTTTTCTGGGGAATATAAATTGGAATAAAAATCAGAACATTCATATAAAATATCATTTGTTTGATTTAATATAACACCTGTATCGCTTTTTAATTCCTTAATAACATTTTATTCTGTCTCTGTTTTTCTAAGTTAAGAAAAAATGAGGTACACCTGTCACCCTGGGTAGCATTTTGGAATTTACTTCTTATAATGACCCCTTTACATTTATTATCCTCCATTTCTTGTAATTTTAATTCAAGTTCTTTAATCAGAGTAAGATCAGGGGCCATTTTTTGAGACAGTCTGTCATATTCCCTGTAATTTATATTTAAGATTATCCCACTAAACTAGGATCTCTGAGGAATATAACAGACTATCTTTTTCCTTATTAATTATATTTCTAATATTACTGGTACTCATCTTATAAAAGTAAATTATTAAAAATATATACCGGTATACCTGAACCTCTTTCACAATCATTAAAATAGTAACTGGATTATGACCTGAAATAGATGTATATGTAATAAAAACTTTAAAAACATGGTGTATAAAATTATAAGGTATAAAAATGTAGTCTAAACGACTAGCCTTTAAAACATTATTAAGATAATTGGTCCGGGTATATTGCCTTTTGTCAGGGTTTCTGCGTCTAAAAATATCACACAGATTATGTTGTAAAATAAAATTGTTAAAAATATATTCACTCTTTTTGCTAAAATGCATATCTTTGGCTCTATCTAAAAAAGGGTCTAAAATGTTACTAAAATCTCCACATAAAATAGAAGTTGGAGTTAAAAATGGTAAAATAGATTTAAAAAATTCCTCTCTCTCCCCGTCTTTGTTAGGAGCATATATATTTAAAACATTAAAATTAGTATCATCAATTAAAAAGTCAACTCTTAAAATCCTCCCTTCATTGTCTTTAAAATTAGCTAAATTAGAATCTTTTAAATTGTTTTTACACAGTATAGCGACACCCCGTCGACTGTTGTTAAAATTACTAGTAAAAATGGGGCCATCCCATAGTTGATGCACAGTCCTTTCAAAATCGTCGTCCAAAAATGTTTCTTGGAGCGCAATGACATCCGAGTTGCTATCACACAATTTGCTTATTACATTTTCTAATTTTTTTCTATCACGTAAGCCATTTACGTTTAATGTCGTTATCTTGGGCATTGTTAAAAGTATAAAATAGAGAATAAAAGTTAAAACGCACATAAAAGATAAAATGTTATTAAACAGATAAAACTACTTCTTAAGAGTGTTGATTTTAGGCAGGGGGGTTGATACACTCGGAACATCTTTTTTCGAATTATTCAGTTTATTTGGGGACGATTTTTTGTTGGGATGGCCGCCCGCTTGATTTTACCGTCTTTGCTCCTTTTAACAGTGAATTTCACATTTAGTTTATCACTAGGGTTTTCATTGTCACTGGGGTCGGGGTCGCTCTCGGAATCGTGTGTTTCGTTTGGGGGGTCAGCGAGTTCAGTGGTTTTGGGCCGGTCTTCTGAGGTTTAAATTACTGAGAATTCGTTCATGAAAGACGGAGGGTCGATACGCGTGGATTCTGTTGGTGAGATGTTATCATTGTTTGTGTCTTTACGTTGTTTTTTGTCGCCGTGGTCAATGTCTGTTGATAAACTTAGGTCACGCCTGTTAGGTTTATCAGTGTTCATCTGCTCGTTATCATTTCCTTCATTAGTGTCATAAAATTCATCATATATGCATTGTGTCGTGTACTTGTTACATTTGTCACATTTCTCCGTCACACAATTAAACGCCATATGGCCATATGTCTTACACTTTCGGCACTGAATTTTGGGGCATTCCTTTTTTTCATGGTCTGGTGAAAGGCACTTAAAACAAACCTTACTTTGATTGTTATGCACAACTTTGAATGTCTGAGGTCCATCTGGTGTTTCAAATTGCATGGCCCACGGAAGAGAATGAAAATTGGGCGGAAACTTGCATTTTACATACCGTGTGCCGTCGGAAACATCAGGTCTCTGTTTGTAATAATGCCTAACTACATTGTCCACAATTTCAATTTTATATTGTTCAAGTTTGTTGGTAATTACGTCGTCATTAATATGGCTTGGGAGATTAAAAATAGAAACAACAGTGTTTTTAGAGAAACATAGTTCAACTGAGTAATTCTTACTATTTATATTTAGGCCTTCTTCACATAATTTCATAGCATTTTCGACATTATTTACTGTAATTTCAATACTGGTAGGTGGGCGGGGTACACAGGCATAACAAGAGCCTTCACCAATGCATCTCTCAACTGATTCAATAAAATCTATCATAAAAACTTTTTTAATATCAACGTTTATTACCTTGACCGAATTCTCCTTAGCGTAGCATCGTCCCGATGTCGCCATTTTAAATCCAAAAAACAAGCACCACCGCTATCCTATGCGGGGTGGAGAATATCACAGTAATTATCACAGAAAAAAATATATCACAGGTTTAAATATCACAGTTATTGGGGCCAAAAGGCCCCTGAAAAACGGAGTTTATATACAAATCTACACTATATATAAAGTTGCTATTTACACGATATCTATTTACAATCACAGGTGAATACAAGTAACGTCTCGCTTGGGTAAATCTCAGAGCTCAAGAAAACACGTCCTCTCGCTTTGAAAACTGAAGCCAGACTCCGAGCAAGTGTCTAACTCACTGAGCCAGCAACAGAACTGGATGTAAAGATTTTCAATTGTCATGCAATATCACTGTAGTAATAAGCCAGATTAACAATGCACACCCACATAGCTAGCTCTTCTATTGAAATAACATGATAAAACAGGCAGGTTGTAATTTTGAAACACGTGAGCGTATACCAGCAAAACGGATGAGGTCAAACAGAGGTCAAGAGACGAACAAATTAAAATAATAATACACACATGAGAAGAAATAATTCTGCAACCCATTTCCTGAAGTCTTACATCTCTGGAGTATACTTTGGAATATTGGGGGGTTGCCACAAAGAACATCTTTCTCTTTTTAACCTTGAACATTCTAAACTACTGAAATTTATACTTGATAAGAACTATGGATAGCTAAAATTTATACTTGAAAAGAGCTGTGGATAGCTGAAATTTTTATTTGAAAAGGGCTATGGATAGCTGAAATTTATATTTGAAAAGGGCTATGGATAGCTGAAATTTATATTTGAAGGGAAACAAATTGTAAAGAGTGAAATGGTTGAAAATTTAAACTTATGGATCAGACCAAAACACTTTCAGAAATGATAAAACAGTCTTCAGTGAAGTTTATATTTGAAAAGAGCTATGGATTGCTGAAATTTATATTTGAAAAGAGCTATGGATAGCTGAAATTTATATTTGAAAAGAGCTATGGATAGCTGAAATTTATATTTGAAAAGGGCTATGGATAGCTGAAATTTATTTTTGAAAAGGGCTATGGATAGCTGAAATTTATATTTGAAAAGGGCTATGGATAGCTGAAATTTATATTTGAAAAGAGCTATGGATAGCTGAAATTTATATTTGAAAAGGGCTATGGATAGCTGAAATTTATATTTGAAGGGAAACAAATTGTAAAGAGTGAAATGGTTGAAAATTTAAACTTGACCAAGATCTCACCAATAGAAATAAAAAGACATAAAACTCTAACACAATAGAGACTACAGTTTTTATCTGATTGTAATGAAACTTAATGTGATAATGTATATTGATGAGATTTTGGATCAAATTTGACGATTTTTCAATGAATGTTTTTTTTGAGTTATCGCCCTTGTCTTAGGAAAAACACGTCAAAATTTGTTAGTGAACACAATAGAGACTACAGTTTTCAACTGATTTTTATGAAATGTGGTGTGATCATTTATATTGATAATATCTTAGACAAGTTTGAATTTGAGGATCTTTCGATGAACGGTTTTTGAGTTATTACCCTTGACTTGGAAAATCTCGTCAAAATATCAGTAGAGTCTTTTTTTACTGGGAATTTCAATTAGCTATTGATCATAACATGAATAAAAATAAAACAAATACACAAAGAAAATCAGGACATTTGAGAAAAAAAATTATCAAAATTATTAGCTAAATTAGCTTAAATTTCCTGATAAAATTATTACTGTTAAGAAAAATGAATAATGACCTTTAAGCACTTAACATGCCTGTCTGTTTCAAAAATCGTATTTGCTCTCTCTGACCTCGTTATTGCAGGCACATTTTGTACAAAATATTTGTGCGCAGGTGTGAAGATATCATATTAATGTTTCGTTTTCTGTATTGTTGGAATACGTACATACTGTAAGGAACAATAGTTCAAGGTCATTAATAAAAACGTGCTCTATTATACAGTTGTTGTGACTAGAACCCCATATAAAAGAAATATACATGGTGTCAGAACTGGGCACAAGTTTACTGGTGTAAGTGAATTTGTTGTCACAGACGATAACTTTTGTTTTTGTCGGGGTAAAAAGTTTATAAAAGATTGCTGCACGTTTTATGATGTTTGAAGTTTTAACTATTATCGTGTCATACAGAACATTTTCAAGATGGCGGCAAGTTTAGCCCAAGCAGCTTTTCTGAGTCAAGGCCCTAGTATAGAGTGGACCAAGGATGAAGATCTATACACACGTTATAAAGTTTGGGAGCAGCAGTGCCAGATTTTGTTTAAAGCCCCAATGAACAGTTGAAGAAACTATTAAGTGTAATTGTTTATTTTAATGGTCTGGTGAATATAGCCTAGATTTGTTCAACAGTTGGAGTTTTTCTGAAGCTGAAGAAAAGGTTTTACAGAACTATTGGAATAAGTATGAAGAATTCATTAAACCAGATTAGAATGAGTTAATGGCATCATTCGAACTTCACATGATTAAACAGGGTGATATGTCATTGGAAGAGTTTATCGCCAAGTTACGCTTGCTGTTAAAAGAAGCAAATTATCCAGCTGAACATTCAGACAGATTTTTAAGAGACAACTTAGTATTTGGTATGAAATCTAATAAAGTCCGCAAGGATTGCCTGAAAATCGGAAATGACATTAGTTTTCAAAAGGTGAAAAGTATGGCAAAGGCTGAAGAATCTGCCAACAGACAGATGACTATCATCGATCAAAGAATCAACGAAAGCACAGCTACTATTGCGCCCATAGATAGACATCGTAGAAAATTTGTGCAGTCAAAGCCTAAGCCTAACAAGTACAACTCACAGAAATACAAGCCACACAGTACAAACCAAGACAAGTCTAAGTCAGAGAAATGTGGTAGATGTGGTAATGCAGTACATTCCAAAGAATTTTGTCCAGCTGTAGAATTTGTGGTAAATCAGGTCATTTTGCTGATTATTGTTGAAAGGCCAAGAAACAAATCAATGTAGTTAATTTTGATAAAAGCTTTGATGAAGAAGAATTACCTTTAGTTTTTCTGGGTCCTGTAGTCTCCTTACCTATCATGAGTGAAGATGATGTAAAAATGGTTAACCCAGTAAGCTGTAAAGAAAAGGCCTTTATAGAAATTCAGTTTAGTAATCCTTCTAGTAATGTAATGAATACAGTTCTGTCGAAGATAGATTCTGGTGCAGAGACGAATGTTTTGACAACTGAAGTATACAAGTCCTTGTTTGATAACCAGTTATTACAAAGTTCACAGTTTTGTCTCTTAGTCTTTGGAGGTGTTGAAGTCAAAAGTAATGGCTCCCGTAATGTTGTTGTTGAAGCACAAAATGGCAAAATAGAAACAGCCTGTTTTGAAGTTGTAGATTTTAAGGGTCCTGTTATTGTTGGAAATGTGCTAGTCCAAAAGTTAGATCTCATCAAGTTGACTTGGGAAGTTACATCCCATAGAAGTAAAATTGATGGTCAAGTTAAGTTGTTTGATGTCAATGGTCAGAAACACCCATTTCCTATCACCAAGGAATATTTGTTAAAGAAATACCATGATGTTTTTACTGGTATTGGTTGTTTTCCTGGTGAACCCTATCAACTAAATGTTGATCAAGATATACAGCCTGTTCAAGACCCACCACGACATGTTCCTGTTCATATGCAAAAAGTGTATCAGGATGAATTGGAGCGATTGGAAAATCTTGGAATTTTGTGCAAAGCGTGTGATGAATATACTCCTTGGATAAATTCAACAGTGATAACACCAAAATCTTCGAATAAGATAAGAATGTGTTTAGATCCTCGAGATTTGAATGTTGCTCTCAAACGCAAAAATATTATGTTAGAACCATTGAGGATGTGGTTCCTAGACTAAGCGGTGCGAAATATTTCAGCATTCTAGATGCTAGCAATGGCTTTTGGCAATTTGAACTCGATTCACCAAGCTTTGTACGTTCAATACACCGTTGGACAAGACTCTAGTTGGATCGACTGGAATTGCAGATGATACTTTTGTTTATGGAATTGATGAGTTAAACCATGATAGAAATATTGTAAATACTGCTCTTAAAAATAATGTTAAGTTTAATCCAGACAAATTTCAGTTTAAGGTTCAGGAAGCCTCATTTTTTGGCCATAAATGGACGCCTAACGGTTTAAAAGTTGATGAAAAGTTGATGAAAAGAAGATAAAATCCATTTTGGATATGAAGCCTCCAAATAATTTAACAGAGCTTCAGTCATTTTTGGGAATGATAAATTATTTACACAGGTTTTCACCTATATTAGCTCAAGTTTCTGAATCTTACGAAATTTGTTAAAACAAATGTGTTCTGTTTCTATGGCAAACTAAACATGATAAGTCATTTAATGAGCTTAATAGTATTATTATTAATACACCTGTATTAACATTTTATGATCCTGAAAAGCCAAATTATATCCAAGCTTATGCAAGCTTAAAAGGATTAGGTTGTGTTTTGTTACAGGATGACAAACCTGTTTGTTATGGTAGCCGTTCATTGACTGAAGCAGAATCTCGTTATAGCAATATCCAGCGTGAGCTTCTAGCAGTTTCATGGTCACTTAAGACCATGGTCACCATTATGTTTACCGATATGGTAAAAGTGTTCTTATATATACTGATCATAAGCCATTAGAAAGCATTTGGAAAAAATCCATAAGTAGTGCTTCACCCAGATTACAAAGACTACTTTTACAAATGGTCAGGTATGATGTGACACTAAGATATATTAAGGGCAAAGAAAACGTGATCGCAGACGCTCTGTCTCGCGTCAGTGCAATGGAAATGCCCGATAGTGGCGATAATTTGCAAATCAATATTGATACTATAACAGACAGCATACCTGCTAGTCCTGCCAAGCTATCAGAAATTCGCCATTTGACTAACAATGATCGTATATTGTCCCAGCTTAAGACAATGATACTTAAAGGTTGGCCCGAGTTTATATCAGAGTGTCCTGAAGATTTAAAACTGTTTTGGACATATTGTGATGACTTGTCTGTAG